GGGGGGGGGGGGGGGGGGGGGGGGGGGGGGGGGAACAGCTGAAACACAGAAGAAAGGAAGGAATCTGAGGTTAGATTGCTCAGCAGGAACAGATGGGAAAAAGAGGCTTCGCCGAGTAGAGTGGGAAATGCGCCCACGAAGGGATGGGAATGGAGAGCCGACTGAAGGAACCTCCCTTTCCTGGATTGCAAGGCTGGGATGCACCCCCTCGGACTGTGCCCTTAACCACACCCTCACTGCCCGCCACGGGGGTGGGGGTTCTCTCCCATAGGACTGTGCGGCCGCTGGGGGCTAGGGCACCGTGCTTGGCATTGCTAGGGTTTCAATGAACATGAGTTTCTTCCCTTCTTCCCAGCTTTCTGCTGCAGCGTGAGGACCTGAGACCCAAACACAGAAACCCCACACCCTCTAAGCTGTGGCCAGAATAGGCTCCCCTCTCATAGCATGATTAGGCCCAGAGAAGCTCCGACCTTGCTGGAGGACACAGATTTCCCTGGCACAGCAGCACCGAAGCCTCTGTAACTCCAGGTCAAGGTTCTTCCCACTCCAAGTGCCCAGATGCCACCGGCCAGGCGTTCCTCCTCCCACTGGGCATCACAGGATGACGGGACAGTCAGCGATGATCCCTCATCCATTTCACGTGACAGGTCGGGTTTCATCCTCACTGCAGTCCTGTGAAGTATCAGCCCCGTATTTCAGATAAGGAAACAGAGGCTCAGAGAGACACAGCAGGGCTTGTACAAGGTCACACCGTGGACCAACAGATGGGGTAGGATTTGAACTCGGCTCCCTCTAACACCAAGTCAGGCCTCCTTTAGTGCAATAGCAAGGAAAGAGCTGCCATGTTGGCATTTTCCATGGGTAGAGAAAACCTCATACTAACCCAGTTTCAGCCTGGTCTGACCCTGTAGAGCCTGTAGAAGGCTCTAGAACAGGAATGGTCTAACTACAGCCTGTGGGTGAAATCCAGTTTGTTTTTTTGTTTTTTTTTTTACCAGCCTATAAACTAAGATTATTTTTTATTTTTTCACATTTTTAAGTGGTTGGGGAAAAAATAAAAACAGAAGAAGAATATTTCATAGCACATGAAAATATATGACATTTATTTCAATGGTTGTAAATAAAGTTTTATTGGAACACAGCCACACCTATTTGCTTATGCACTGTCTGCAGCTGCTTTTGCTCTACAGGGTTCAGTAGCTGTGAGAGGCCAGAAGAGCAACAAAACCCGATATATTTACTCTCTGGCCTTTCAGAGGAAATGACCAGAAGGTTTGAGGGGGTCTCTCTTGCCCTCACTTCCTCCAAGAGGCCCTCCTGACTACTGCAGGCAGAACCAGCCACTCCCTGCTCTGTGCTGGGATATGCACACCATTTTCCACATGACTTGGAGTTCTGATCCGATTCCCCAGCTCTTTGTCCATTGGGACGGGGGTTCTTTGGAGATGGAAATTTTACTATGTTTCTTCTCAAGTCCCCAAGACTGGGCATAAAGTGACACAGGGCAGAAAGAGGAATCCAAATTCCCATCCTGGCTGTTATTAGCTATATTGGGTCAGTGGGCAATTATGCCCCTTCTGCAGCCTCAGTTTCCATGTGTATGACATGGGGCCATGTGGACGGCAGCTGTGAGGAAGGAGTGAGGCAATGCGTTAGTAACAGTTTGAGCAACATGCCTGTACCACATGCCAGGCACCTCCTAACCCATGGCATCCTCAGTACCCCTAGGGAATGGGCACCATTACCATCCTGAGTTCATGGATGCCGTAAGGAGTCCAGATTTGACTCCAGCTGGACACACAGCCCACACCTTCACTGTCTGAAGCATCAAGCGCAGGGCCTGGCATATGGTTGGCAATCCATAAATGCTGTGCCCCCTCCCAGCACAGCACACAAGCATGTGGTCAATCCAGGAGTGTCTGTTGAGCACAGGCTGAACAGTGGGGCACTGGCAGTAGTTTCCTGGAGTGCCACGCCTTCCAGCTCCAGACCACGGGCCCTCATCCTGCCCCTCTGCCCCCCTGCAGGCTGCCCGAGGTCCGCATCTCAGACAATGGTCCCTACGAGTGCCATGTGGGCATCTACGACCGAGCTACCAGAGAGAAGGTGGTGCTGGCGTCAGGCAACATCTTCCTCAATGTCATGGGTAAGTGCACGGCCCCTGGGCCTGACTTCACAATGAGAAGCTGTGTGTGTGTGTGTGTGTGTGTGTGTGTGTGTGTGTGTGTGTGTGTGTTCATGCATATGTGCACAGGGGGCTCTCCTGGGAACCACGTGCCAAAATGCCTGTTGTGCTGCCAGTGGACCCTCTTCTTCCCCACCATTGCCCTCAAGGGGGCAAGGAGGCTGGCCATGCTGCCACAGTCTCTGGGCCTCAATTTCCACTTTTGTGAGATGAGGGTGGGATGCAGGCTTAGTGAATCATTCATGGGCCCCCTAGCTCCAGGCTCTGTGATCCAGTGTGGAGCAGCTATGTGGGCACCTTTCCCAGGCTGAAGCCAAGAGCCACGTTCACAGAAACACCTGCAGAGAAAGTACAGTAGGTGTGGTGCCCCCCCGGGAGGACAATTCAGGAGCTGCATGGGGATTCTGGGATGATGTCAGTGGCAATGCACGCCTGCTGCAGAGAGAATGACTCTGACCCGGCCACGTGTTCCCTCCCTGTGCCTCCCAGAGATTGTTCCCGAGGCACTGAAGCCCCAAATGATAAGTCAGGAAGTCCACTAGACTGGATGCTAGGGTGTCTGGGTTCTGACCCTATGCCCTATGCCTGCTTCCGTTTCTGTATCTGCAAAATGGGGATAATAAAGCTAGTGCCTATCTCTGGCTGGCTGTGTCCCCAGCCCCAGTCTCGGTTGCTGCATTTCTAAAAACAAGGGCCTTGTTCCAAGTGGCCTCAGAAGCCCTGCTGGCTCTGTTCTTCTTGTCAGGCACAATCTCAAATTTGGCCACCTGAATTCGAGGGACATGGCCTCTGCTCCAGGCTCCAGTGCTCTCCGGTGTTCTTATCAGATGATGTTTACCTGGGAAACGAAGCTTGCCTACTCAGGCAACTAGTGTAAACGCAAGGGCCCTGTTGAAAGCTGCTGCTTTGGGAGAAATTGAAATCTTCCAAAGGCCAGACCTCCAGTGGGACGTTGATTCCCAGTGGTCGCACGTGGTGTGATTCAGCTGCCTGGGGAACAGGCCAGGGCAGGGAGGTGGTGCTGCCAGGAAAATCTCCCTAACTGCAGTTGCCCACATCAGCCTGGGGGGCAGGAACTATGTTGTGCCCATTGCACAGATCCAGGCTCAGAGAGCTCCTGAAGTGACTTGGCCCAGCTTGGGAGGGTTCAATGAGAGAATCCACAGAACAGAATGTTCTGAGCCCAGGCTCTGGCGCATTCTGTATGTTCAATAAACAGTGTCTCTTACACTAATCGTTTCAGCTAAACATGAGCACAATGTAAACCCAATTAGGAAGGCTTAAAATCACATTACCTTCACTCCCAAACTCCATGACCCTCTCCTTTAAATATATTTCAAGGCAGTTTTCAAAAATCACAATCTACTCATTGTTTTGGCCTGTCTGTGACATTGTTTGGACACTTTCTTGTCGCCCATGCACACGCAAAGACCCTCCCTCCAAGAGAGTGGAGGTCATGGAAAGCAGGGGTCTCCTTTGTGCCGCAGAGACCCTAAGGATCATGGCAGCCAACAGTGGAGCAAAGAAGCCCCCTCCCCAATTTGGGGGTCAAAGGGAAGCTTCCCAGGACACTGGGGAAGGGGGAGCCGAGAAGCTGGCCACATCCCAGGGCCCCATGGGCACCAGAAGCACAGAGCAGTTCTGCCGGAGAGCAGGGCACCCCGTCTGCCATCACCATGGCTGCATCCAGCGTATTCTAACACGCTGCTTCCAGGGGCCTCCGGGCAGAGATCAAAATGCAAGAGTCGCTGTAATTTCACGCCTATAACATCCCCGCTCTGTGGTGGGGAAGGACATTTGGGAGCCCCATGGGTGACCCCGAGGGTTCATGCTGCACACAGTCATTAAAATGCTTTTATCTGAGCTGCAGATAAATTGTAAGCCAATTTGAAAGTTGCATGCTGGGCCCCAGGAACGCATTATACACAGTCACGGACAGATTGCGAAGGCTCTTCTTGGGGGTGCAGGTTATGCGGGGGAGCATGTTAAGGGGGTGATGTTACAATCAATTAAATGTGAAGCTCAGACACCCCCAACCCAGCCAAAGCCAAAAAATGCTGCATTTCTGGTTCCTCCAGAAGACCAAAGACCCAGTTACTCTGCCACCCTCGTAGCAGTGCCACACGGAGGGAGCCCTTTCAGCCCATAGCTAATAATCAAGGCCATTTCCCATCAGGCACAGGCTGTGTGCCCTGAACTGTGTGATAAACGTTCAACCCACGGTTAATCATGTGACTGTCATGGGAGGGAGCCCTACAAGGCAGGCGCTGTCACCCTTGTTTTACTGATAAGGGCTCTGATGGAGGCTCTGAGAATTTAAGGGGCCCACCTACATGAGTGACAGAGTTGGGGGTCCTGCCAGGTCTGCCCAAGACTGGAGCTGGTGCTCCTAACAGCACCTCTGAACATCCAAGGGAAATGTTCCCACCTTTGGCACAAAGGCTATTAGTAACACAAGTACCAACCAAGCACAGTGTTGGGGTGCAGAGTGGAGGAGTGGGGGCCTCTGTGAGACTGAGCTCTAACTAGGAATGCTTGGCACTCAAACACTTGAGGCAGTTGGGTGGGGCTTCAAGCACCTGGCACGCAAAAACTCAAGACAGGTTTTGTTTCCAGGGCCCGTTAGAGTCTAAGAGGAAGGAGAGCCCATCCCCGCCCCACTGTTCCATTCCTGTGTCCCACCCCACCCCATGGGTGCTTCTCCCATCTATGACTACCTAGGGCCCCCTCACTACTCAAACCCTTTGACTAGGAGTCCAGCAGACTGGGTCCAAATCCAGGTCAACGTCCACTTGTGACATGGGCAGCCCAGTATTGAACTCTCTAGTAAAAACAGTATCCGAATGTCTTTTTTGTTTAAATAAATTATAAGGTGACTTGGATGTCCATACACATTGGCATTCTAAATCACATTCATCCACTCATTCTTCATTTGTTCTTCATTCATTCATTTATGTCACAAGTATTAATCAAGCGACCAGTATGTTCAGGAGCTGTTGTATGTATTGGAATTCTTCTTCGGGAGACAAACAAAATTCCTGGTCCTCGTGGAACTTACAGTGCAGGAAGGCAGCCATGTAGGGGTAGACAGCCAGAGCCTGTGGCACGTCAGAGGGTGGTCAAGCAGAGCAGAGGCCAGGACAAGCAGAGGGAAAAGGGGCTGTTTTAAACCAGATGGTCAGAAGGCCTCTCTAAGAAGGTGACACTCCTAGAAGGTGAGGTCAGAGCCATGAGGACTTCATGCCTTCACGTACCTGGTTCAGTGATACTTATTCAGCATCTTCCCCCGCCAAGCACAGGTCTAGGTGCCGAGGATATGGTGGAGAACAAGGCCAAGTGTTTGCAGGATGGAACTTACATTCCATCAGGGAGGTAGCTTGTGGTACAGATGTAGAAACCAGGGCTTGATAACTTAAGTCACCAGGCCTGCCCATAACAAATGATCAACAACTGGAAGCAACAAACATGTATTCCCTCACAGTTTTGGAGGCTAGAAGTTTGAAATCAAGATGCCTGCAGAGCCATGCTCTCTCTGAAAGCTCCATGGAAGAACCCTTCCTTGCCCCTTCCAGCTTCTGGTGGTTGCTGGCAATCCTTAGCAGTCCTTGGCTCACAGATGCATCACTACCACCTCTGCCTCCATCTTCACATGGCATCTCCCTCTGTGGGTCTGTGTCTCTGTGTCCACATTTTGAGGACACCGCACATTGGATTAGGGCCCACCCTAATCCAGTGTGACCTCATTTTAAATTGGCTACATCTGCAGAGACACCATTTCCAAATAAGGTCACATTCACAGTTACTGGGGGTGAGGCCTTCAAAATATCTCAGGGACACAATTCAAGCCCAAACAGTACCTGAGCCAGGAGATGGCAGAGCTGAGTTCACCGTCTGACTCTGACGCTCATAATCCCTGCTCCCATCCACATGAATCACCCTCCACTGAGCATTTACTAATATGCTAGGCACCCTGATAAACTTTTCATAAGTTCACTTACTGAACAATCACAAAACCTCTTGCAAAGCGAGTACTACCATTTTCCCTTTGATGGATGAAGAAACTGAGAGGTCACGTCACTTGCCTAGACCACCCAGCCAGCGAATGCATCCTGTGTGCTTAACCACTCTGCTCTACTAGAAGTCATGGAGTACCGAGAAGCATTAATAAGTGTTCTGTCTTGGGATCCCTGTCTCTATTCTAGAGGCTTCCAAGTGAGGTTGGCAGGTGGAGGTAGAATTTTGGAACCCCACACAATATGCTTTCCAAGCCTGGGCCAGGGGCCACAGCTCCCACCCTAGAGAACAGTTGTTAAGGAACTTCGCATAGATTGTCTTTTCTTCAGTTTGTTTTACTGAATTTTTATTAAGTGCCTCTGGTGATTTTTTCCCTTGCTTTTTTTTTAAGAACAGTTTTATTGAGATGTAATTCAGATAACATATACTTCACTCATTTAAAGTATACAATTCAGGGGTTTTTAGCCTAGTCACCATGCCACTTTAAATAGGGGCAACCAATTCTAGAACATTTTCATTACCCCCTAAAGAATGCCTGTCAGCAGTTATTCCCAACCCTAGCTTCCCTCCCCTGAGTGTTAGCAAACACTAGTCTACTTTCAATCTCTGTGGATTTCCCTGAACATTTCTTATAAATGGGATTACACAACATGCAGTCTTTTGTAACTTTCTGTCACTTAGCATAATGTTTTCGAGGTTCATCCATATTGGAACATGTCTATGCAGTCTTTTGTAACTTTCTGTCACTTAGCATAATGTTTTCGAGGTTCATCCATATTGGAACATGTCTCAGTACTCCATTCCTTTCACAGCTGCGTAATATTCCATTGGATGATATATGACATGTTGTTTATCCATTCACCAATCAATCGACATCTGGGTTGTTTCTGCTTTGGGTCTCTGAAAATAATGCTACTGTGAACATTCTTGTGCTAGTTTTGTATGGA